TCTTCCCCTCGGCCTCCCTCCTTCCCTGCTGTTTACTGCTTTGGACACCCTTGGGGGCGGGAGCAGGAGGCCCCTCTCTTCCCCAGGCCCTTTATAAAAACGCAGTTGTGTTTCATGCCTTTGGCAGGAGCTTGGGTTTCCTACCCAGGTGTCTCTCCCCGGCTTCTGGGTTCCCTCTGCCTTCGGATCAGCCCTTCAGCACAGGCAGGCAGGTTCCTGCTGGTTTCGCCTGTAGCCTCCCCGCCACGACGGTGCCAGGGGCAGCCGGGGGGCCTCCTTCTGCCTTGACTTCCGCCAAGTAATTCTCTTCACAAATGTTCAAGGGCTGTTAACTGGCTAACTAGCCCGAGTCCCCTGATGGCCTCTGGGTTCCTCCAGAAGCTGCCACAATGGGCCTTTATCAGCTTGGGATTCTCTGGGCCCCGATCAAAAGCCCTGTCCTGGCCTGGCCAGGGAGGGGGCTGAGCGGGGAGTATCTTCATCCTTCTGTCCTTTGGTCAGGCTGAATAGCTCCCTTGTTCAGGCTCCGAGGGTCACAGACTAGGAAGGCAGTGGGCCCTGGATGGGGAGGAGGAGAGAAAAACCCTCGAAGGGTTGCTATTTTCCTTAAACTGCTGCTAGTTTTACACAAGTTCTGCCACTGTGGACCGATGGGGGAGGAGCTGTGCTGTCATCCCCGGGCGGGTCGATTTGAAGAACAGCGAGAGACAATGGTAACTTCATACCTGGCTTAGCAAATGTTGTTCTAATTGTTGGTCCGGCCTCGGCAGGGGGACGTGCGGTTAGGACCTCCCCTCAATCTTTGCCATCCGCCAATCTTGTGGGCAAAGTAGCGCACCATGACAGAAAGTAACCTGGGTGAGAAGGTCGCAGGAGGCTGCAACTGATTTCCCTGTCTTTCCTAGGCCTCCTGCTCATCCTGAACACCACTCCAAACTTCATTTTTCTAAAGCAGATCTCATCCTCTTCCTGTTGAAAAACCTTCAGAGGCCACTCCTCCCTGGCTTAAAGAAGGGGAAATGTCTCGTCCCGGCATTCAAAGCCTTCCGCCTGCTACCTTTCTAGTCCACCCAACTCTACTTTGCCTTCACCAACCTACCTAGTGGCTCCTGTGGGGTGGGGAGTGTTTGAAAATGCAGATGGAAAGGGGCAGCGGCTCCTGGCATTCGGTGCTGGGGAGGGGAGGTGGCAGGGATGCTATGAGACCTACTTTGTGTGGGACAGACTCTACAACAACAAACTGCCCCCAAAGTAATGCCAGTAACATCCCCCCTTTGGAAATACGCTCCAAACCGAGTTCCTCGCTCTTGTCTGCATGTCCCCCATACTTTCACATCAGCCCCTGTGCACACAGTGTCACTTCATCCCAGACAGACCTTCCCCCACATTTCCCAGGTCCTGATGTCCCCCATCCTTTGAGTGCTAGCTGAGACTCTTTGTCTAACACAAAACTTCT